GGAAACCACACATTGATGTTTCTCTCCCTCTTTCTCTTCCTCCCTCCCCCTCTCTAAAAAATAAATCTTTAAAAAAGATTTTAATTTTTTATTTACTGGTCTTAGAGAGAAACAGACAGAAAGAGAAACATCAATCTGTTGTTCTACCCATCCATGCATTCATTGGTTGATTCCTGTATGTGCCCTGACTAGGGATCAAACCTGCAACCTAGGTGTATCAGGATGACATTCCAAGAAACTAAACTACCTGGCCAGGGCTAAAAATGCATTTTAGAAGTACACATATTTGAACCAGTTGTAACATATTACAAAGTACCTCATTAATTAATGAATTATATTAAATATATGGCACATGTTCACTGAATTCTTTAAAAGTTCTCAGAAGATGTAAAACCCTGAAGAGGATTTCCTGTGAGCCATTTCCACTGTGTTTCTAGATAATGATGTAAAATCCAAAGAAAATACTTCACGCAATAACACAAGCTGAACCTTACAAATCCAAATGTTGCTAACAAAGTAAGACACACCTAGAGTAGGTTCCATTTAAAGTTTAAAGGGGTAAAATTCAACCACACTGCCTAGGGATACACACAAGGATATACAGGGTTATGATGACCACAGAAGCCACTGCCATACAACTGTGGCACTCTGCAGGTACACATGGGAGTTGTGAGGGGCTATGACCAGAGGATATGAGTGACATCTGCAGTGCTGGCTGTGCTCTATGTCATGAGATGAGTGCTGATTCCATAAGCATTTACTTCATAATTAATTGTTAAATTGCAGGTATGTCTTACATACTTTTCTATATGTATATTATATTTCAGTTTAAAATAAGCACCAAAACTCCAATGTTTCATGGTAAAAAAAATTTTTCCAGCATGAAATGATTTGCAGTTTAAAAAGTCATTATTCTAAGTAACACAAAACTGCCTACAGACACAGTTCAGTGTCTCTGGTCTAAAGCAAGAGTCCCAAACCCCAGTGCTTACCAGATCCTAGCAAGGAATATCAAAAAGCAGAGCAAGTCTCACAGATTAGGGCAAGCAAAAGTACAAGCCTGCTCTGAAAAAGGATAGCACTCATTTAGTGTAGACAGACAGCAGCAACTGGTATGTGTGGAAATGGAAGCTTCTTTCAAGAAGACAGAAAGAATGGCTTTTCCCCTTTTTAAGTATATTTTATTGATTACGCTACTACAATTCTCCCATTTTTTCTCCCCTCCATCCTGCACACCCCTCCCTCCAGCATTCCCCCCCTTAGTTCATGGCCGTGGGTTGCACATATAATTTCTTTGGCTTCTCCATTTCCTATACTTTCCTTTTTTCTTTAAGATTTACTTTTAGACAGAACGGAGAAAGAGAGACAGAAAAACATCAATGTGAGAGAGAAATATCAATGAGGTGCCTCTCAGCCTACAATCTAGGCATGTGCCCTAACTTGGGAATCAAACCAGCAACCCTTTGGTTCACAGGCCAGTGCTCAATCCACTCAGCCACACCAGCCAGGGCTCATATATATACTTTTCTTAACTCACCTCCCCATCTATGTTGGGCCTACTAATTATGCTTATTCCCTGTACTTTTTCCCCCCATCCTCCCCCTCCCCACTGATAATCCCCCCATATGAAACTCATTTCTCTGATTCTGTCCCTGTTCTAGTTGTTTGCTTAGTTTTTGTTTTTTAGGTTCAGTTACTGATAGTTGTGAGTTTGTTGTCATTTTACTGCTCATAGTTTTGATCATCTTTTTCTTAGATAAGTCCCTTTAACATTTCGTATGGTAAGGGCTTAGTGATGATGAACTCCTTTAACTTGGCCTTATCTGGGAAGCACTTTATCTGTCCTTCTATTCTAAATGACAGCTTTCCTGGATAGAGTAATCTTGGATATAGGTCCTTGCCTTTCATGATTTCCAAAACTTCTTTCCAGTCCCTTCTTGCCTGTAAGAGGTCTTTTGAGAAATCAGCTGACAGTCTTATGGGAACTCCTTTGTAGGTCACTCTCTCCTTTTCTCTTGTTGCTTCTAGGATTCTCTTCTTATCTTTAATCTTAGGGAACTTAATTATGATGTGTCTTGCTGTGTTTCTTCTTGGATCCAACTACTTTGGGACCCTCCCAGCATCTTGAGCTTGGCATGTCTAGTTCCTTCATCAGATTGGGGAAGTTTTCCTTCATTATTTGTTCAAGTATTTCTTGCCCTTCTTCTTCACCTTCTGGCATCCCTATGATTCTGATGCTGGAACACTTAAAGTTGTCTCAGAGGTTCCTTAGTCTCTCCTCATTTTTTGGAATTCTTTTTTCTTCATTCTGTTCCAGCTGGATGTTTATTTCTTCCTTTTGTTCCAAATCATTGATTTGAGTCCTGGTTTCCTTCCCTTCACTGTTGATTACCTGTGTATTTTCCTTTATTTTTCTTTGTATAGCCTTCATTTCTTCCTTTATTTTTCAACCATACCCAACCATTTCTGTGAGCATCCCGATTACCAATGTTTTGAACTGTGTACCTGATAGGTTGTCTATCTCCTTGTCACTTAGTTATTTTTCTAGAATTTTGATCTGTTCTTTCACTTCAACTGTATTTCTTTGTCCCAGCATACCTGTTACACTGTAAGAGGCGGAGCCTTAGATATTCACCAGGGCCAGGCAACCCACTTCGCTGCATCATGGCACATGTTGGGGAGGGGTCTGAGAGAGAACAATTCCTCTTGTTCAGCTCTGGACCCACTTTCTGTCACTTCCCTTACTTCCTACAAGTGGATTGAGCCCTTGCAGGTGCTGATTCCCAGGTGAATGCATTTGTATACATTCTAGGATCCCATGGGCCTCTCCAATGGACTCTCCGTGGGACTGGGAGTTTCTCCCACCTCTGCAACCCCCACAGAGTTTTACAGCCAGAAGTTTTGAGCTTTAGTTCCCCACACTAGAACCCTGGGTTGCATGGTTTGTTTCACTCCCCAGTTGTTTCTCCGAGCTTATCTGCACACAAATGTGACAATGCCCAGTCCCCAGCGGCTGCCTCGTCACACATCCTCTCTGTCTGGGTTCCCATTCTGCCCTTCCTACCAGTCTAGATAAATGTTTCTTCTTTAACTCCTTGGTTGTTGGACTTACATAGTTTGATTTTCTGACAGTTCTGGTTGTTTTTGTTTTTAAATTGGTTGTTATCCTTCTTTTGGTTATGTCAGGAAGAAAAGAGTATCTACCTATGCTTCCATCTTGGCTGGTCCAGAAGGAATGGCTTTTATATGACATCTCCTAAACTCTAATCACTGGCAACTATATAATTCAAATTTTATTTTAAAAAACACTGTGTAAATCAAACAAAATATGTCCACTGCCAGAAAAAGACCAAGGGCTATCTTACTATACCTAAAGGCTTCTGTTTCTTCTTTGCTTTGAAGTCCATGCCTTAAAGTCCACCCCCTTCTCTCATTCAGAAAAACTTCACTGAGCACCTATTATGTGCCAGCAACTAGGGCAACGAAGATAAAAACTGCCCCCTATATCCACTGTACACTTTTAATGAATATCCAATCTGCTCCTTCCTATACCTTCCCATCTCCCCAAAATGACAAAACCTGGGAGAGTAGGCTAATATATTTGTTTCTTCTCTTTCTTTCAACCCCCATATCTAATCCTTTAGAAAATTCCGTCAGCTCTGTCATCCAACTATATCCAGAATCCAACCATTTATCAACTCTACCACACCACCCTGGGCAAAGCTATCGCTTTCTCTTACTCAGACACTCCTCATAATCTCCCTACTTGTACCCTCGCCCTCCTTACTGTCCACTCTCCATACCCTCACCAGAGAGATTCTTATAAAACCAAAACTATTCTCCAATTACCACTCCTTTTCACTCAATGAAAAAGGCAAAGCTCTAACCATAGCCTAAGGCCCTATAGTATCTAACCTCTCAACTAGACTTTAGCTGTCCTGAGACAAGGATCTGTGCTAAACAAATCTATTATTTGTTAAACTTTAATAATTTCCTTGAAGTTTTTTAGTAAAATTCCTTCTTCAGAATATCTATCTTTGACAATCAAAGGGACTAGTAAATGGTTCAGGTACTGACAAGAGTTCATAACCCCTGACTCAGCAACTATATTCTAGAGATAAACTAGCACATGTGCAGAGACACAAACATTTCTTAACAGCTAAAGAGGAATAAATTATTTCTACACCTAGATGTGAGGAAAGCTGAGATTTTTTCCAAAGCTAGGCCAGCAGAAATGAAGCCAGAAGTCTGCCCCACAAGTCCTTGCTCACAGGAGGGAAATGCTCAAGAGAGAGACCATTTTCTCTTCACAGCAGACCTTCAATGCATGGGCTCTAAAATCTGAAAATTAGGTAAAATTACACTATTACTTACTGGATGGGTCACTGCAGGCAAATTATTAAACTTTTTGAGTCTGTTTTATAAGATGTTAAATGAGACTTGAGAGCATCCCCTTAGTGGATGGAAAGGCTATAATTAATGCAAGGGCCTAGCACATAATAAACACTCAATGTGGTAGTTCCAAGGTATATGAGGCTGGCACCACTAGCCTCAAAGCTCTGCCTGTGACCAAAGAGTATCCCCACTCTCTGACAAGCCATAGTTCTTCTGGCTCAACATTCAGAACCAGAGGCACTCTGGCAGCATGACACATAATGCTTTTGGCTTAAGACCAAAACCTTTTCAATGGACAGTCATGTCTAAAAGCATAAAAAGGCTGTCAGGACAATCTGACTTGTTTTTTAAAAATCACTTTATAGACACTTGTAATTTGTTAGGTTAAGAACACCAGTCCCATAGCTGGAGCCTACATTTGGTGATTGTTAAAGCACCTGAATTAGCAAAGCTGGGTTTTTGTTCTGTTTGCAAAGTTAACGCTAACGGTGCCAAAAGAAAAAGAGCAGTGCAACAAATACAAATCATCAAGCCATTTTCACAACCATGAGGCTTCAGTATACCATTCAAATGAGAAGCCTTCCTCCCACAAACACGATACTCACCAATGGCCCTGCGGAAGTTCTCCATCAGCACTTCGGTCTTCTTGATCTCCGTCGAGTAAACTTCACTCCCCACCATGGGACAGAAAGGCACCTTACTACCCAGCTCCTGAGCAATAGCCAGAGCTAGAGCTGTCTACAGAAAACAAAGAAAATGAACTTGTTTTACATTCTTGAAAATATGATCACTCAGAGATATATGCTTCCAAAAAAAAAAGATTAATCCGGAACAACTGAAAATCTAGTCCTTTTAGTTTAAATATCATTTGGCACGTTTTACACAATAAACATTTGATGACTCTTATAGATCTATAACTTAAATGGCATTTTTAACCACCCTTGTAATTAGAAGTTATTTACTGAGACATAGTACAGACCTAACTCTAAATGCTTCACATGAGCTGCCCACTCACCCTATGAATTAGATACTACTAATACTCTCACCTCTTTATAAATGATGAAACTGAGACACAGAAAGATTAAATAACACATTCTAGGTGCAACACTAAAAAAGTTATAGAGATCATATTCCTATCATAATTAGTACAGGTTTCCAAAACTATTCCCTCTGTATCAAAACAGGATCCTTAACCTAATTACTCAGAACACCACTATTGGATCTTTGTGATAATTGCTTTCTGTTTATACAGGTACAAGAAGATAACCCACTGGAAATCAGTAAGTAATGTGCAGTTCACTTTATATAAAGCGACCTACACATAATGAATACATGAGATAGAATTCTGAAGCTATGTACTAGTCTTCACTTGAACATGCAAGTATAGTCAAACTACAAGTTGATTTTTAGTAAAATAACTATAGATGTCAGATACTAAAGAGAACCCCATATAATATATGCATGGTCAAATAACAGGTATGAAAGCCAGTCCTTCAAAGCTGGTACAAGAGTAAAAAATGCCATTTCCCATGCCATTTTAATGCCATTAAATGCCATTGGCTCCCCTGGAGAAAGAAAGAAGCCGTGCTGTCCCTTTTCCTCTCCTGGACTCGGTAGTCTATGTGAATGTCTCATTTTATGCATAATGACTTGGACACTGCGGGCCAGTGTCCACATCAGGTGTTTACCTCATTCAGGATGAAACATCCTCAAAGAAAAATATTTTGCCAGTGTGGAAGAAATGAAATAAAAAACTACAGAAGCACAAAAAGGCATCAAAATAGATGAGTTCAAACACTGTTTTGAGCAACAGAAAAAATGACTCAATAGGTGTATTGCATCCCATGGAGAGTACTTTGAAGGTTACTGAAGTTTAAACATAACAGTGCCTACATGTAGAAGGCTCTCAGTAAGTATTGGTTGAATAAATAAATGAATAAAGACTTCCTGCCATAGAAAATAGAAGTATGAGAGGATGCTGGGAAGATGGTGACGGAGTACAACAGAGCGGATTCTAGCTGCCGTACTCGTGGGTAAAAATCATGGCAGATCTAAACAGAGGGAATAGTTTTGGAAGCCTGTACTATACAGAAACAGCACAATAAACCATTGGTTACCCAGCATTAATGAAATTAAAAGACCAGAGATTGTGACCGACGCTGAAACACCAGACAACAACAGAGGCAGCCACGGGAGCCAGACAAAGGCGGACCCTGTGCCGCTGCCACAGCACAGGACTGGGCGCCAGGGAATAAGGTACGGGAGGTGGGATACTCGAGGCCCCTATGCTGCTGCCATAGTGACGGGCCTGGGTGCCGGGGAGTCAGCTACGGGAGCCAGACACTCGTGTCCCTGTGATGGGCCTGGGCACCAGAGGAGTCAGCTATGGGAGCCAGGACACTTGAGGCCCCTGTGCCGCTGCCATAGAGAGGGGCCTGGTCACCAGGGAGTCAGCTACAGGAGAGGAGACACTCGCGGCACCTGTGCTGCTGCCGTAGCAATGGGCCTGGGCGCCAGAGAAGTTGGCTATGGGAGCCAGGACACTCAGCAGTGGTAGGCGACCAGTGTGGGGACCAGCGAGAGAGTAGTTGGAGACAGAGAACATCAAGATACCTGAAGGAATCTCCACCACTGAAATTCACAGGTATTATACCACAGAAGTTCACACCATAAACCCAGGGAGTCAGAACAGATCACTTTTAGAAGCAGAGACTAACAAGAAGAGTCTCAAACAATGGGAAGAAGAGCACGGGGTGGTATAGCTCAGTGGATTGAGCGCAGGCCTGCAAAACAGAGTATTGCGGTTCAATTCCCAGTCAGGGCACATGCCTGAGTTGCAGGTCAGTTCCCGATAGGGGAAGCATGAGAAGCAACCATACATTGATATTTCTCTCCCTCTCTCCTTCCCTTCCCCTCTAAAGATAAATAAATAAATTCTTAAAAAAAAAAAAAAAAACCAATGGGAAGAAGAAACAATCCACAAATTAAAGAAAAAGCAGAAACATCAGTAAGAATGTTAGATGAAATAGAGGCTAATAAACTATCAGATAGTGAATTCAAAGCACTGGTTATTACGAAGTTCAAAGAGCTCACAATGAGCTATCAGAAACTATAGGGGAACTATAATTATCTGTCCGCAAACTACATCAAAATGAAAAAAGGAAATAGAAACCAAAAGCAAAGCATAAGAAGAAAGGAAGAATACAATTTCTGAATTGAAGAACACAGTAGAAAGTTGCAAAAGTAGGATCGATGAGGCAGAGGATAGGATTAGCGAGTTGGAGGACAGAGTAGAAAGCATCTCACAGAAAGAGCAAGAAAATGAAAAAAGAGGCTCAGAAAGAATGAAGAGAGATTAAGAGAAATGCAAGACAATATGAAACATAATAATATCTGAATAATAGGAATACCAGAAGGAGAAGAAGAACAAGGGATAGAAAACATATTCGAAGGAAGTATTGAGAGAAAATTACCTTAATTTGATGAGAGAAAAAGTCACAAAAATCCAGGAATCACATAGAGTCCCAATCAAGAGGAACCCAAGGAGGCCCAATTCAAGACACACCATCATCAAAATGGCAAAATTCCAAGACAGAGAGAGAATCTTAAAGTCAGCAAGGGAGAAAAAAGAAATAACATACAAGAGAGCCCCAATAAGGTTAGCTACTGACTTCTCAATGGAAACACTTCAAGCAAGAAGAGAATGGCAAGAAATATTCCAAGTAATGAGAACCAGAGGCCTACAACCAAGGCTACTTTACCCAGCAAGGCTCTCAATCAAGATAGAAGGCCAAATAAAGAGCTTCCGAGACAAACGAAGTCTACAAGAATACACCTCCACGAAACCAGCTATACAAGAAATATTAAAGGACTTCTTTAAGGAAAGGAAATGAAAGAAAAGAGGGAGACAGAGAGGAACACAGGTACAAAAGTGGCAATGAATAAGTACCTATCAATAATAACCTTAAACGTAAATGGATTACATGTTCCAATCAAAAGACACAGAATAGCTCAATGGATAAGAAAGCATGACCCACACATATGCTGCCTACAACAGACCCACCTCAGGACAAAGGACCATAACAGACTAAAGTGAAAGGCTGGAAACAGGTTTTCCAAGCAAACAGACAAGAAAAAAAAGCTGGGGTAGCAATTCTCATATTGGACAAAATAGACTTCAAAAAAAGGTCCATAAAGAGACACCCAGAAGGTCACTTCATAATATTCCAGGGAAGAATCCACCAAGAAGACATTAATATCATAAATATATATGCACCAAATGTAGGGGCACCCAAATATATCAAGAAAATCTTAGAGGACCTCAAAAAAGATATTGTCAGCAACACAATTATAGTAGGGGATTTTAACACCCCACTGTCAAAAATGGACAGATCTTCCAAACAAATTATCAACAAAGATATTGCAACATTAAACAACACCCTAGATGAAATGGACTTAACTGATATATATAGAGCCATTCATCCCAAAGAAGCTAAATACACATTCGTTTCAAATGTACATGGAACATTTTCAAAGATAGACCACATGATAGGACACAAAACCAGCCTCAACAAATTCAAGAAAATTGAAATCATACCAAGCATCTTCTCTGACCACAAGGGACTGAAATTGGAAACCAACCCCAAAGGAAAAAACCCAAAGCACCCAAAATCACGGAGACTGAAAGCTATGCTATTAAACAACGAATGGGTCAAGAATGAAATCTCAGGGAAGAAAGCAAAACATTTCTGGAAACAAATGAAAACAATCTCACGACGACCCAAAACTTATGGGACACTGCAAAGGCAGTCCTGAGAGGGAAGTTTATAGCAATATAGGCCTATCTAAAAAAGACAGAAACATTTCAAACAAACAACCTAACCCTATGCCTGCAAGAACTCGAGGAACGACAACAAAGACAGCTCAGAGAAAGCAGAAGGAAGAAAATAACCAAGATTAGAGCAGAATTAAATGACATAGAAACTAAAAGCACAATTCTAAGCATCAATGAATCCAGGAGTTGGTTCCTCGAGAAGATAAACAAAATAGACAAGCCTTTAAGTACGCTCATCAAGAAAAGAACAGAGAGGACACAAACACAATCAGAAATGAAACAGGAGATATTACAACTGATACCACAGAAATAGAAAGGATTGTAAGAAATTACTATGAAGAAGTGTATGCTAAGAAATTTGAGAACCTAGGGGAAATGGACACATTTCTAGAAACATACCATCTTCCAAAACTCAATGAAAAAGAAGCAGAAAATCTGAGGACACCAATAACAGCAAAAGAAATTGAAGCAGTAATCAAAAAACTCCCATCACACAAAAGCCCTGGACCAGATAGTTTCACAGGAGAATTCTACAAAGCATTTAAGGAACAGCTAACCCCTATCCTCCCCAGACTATTCCAAAAAATCCAGGATAGAAAACTCCCAAATTCTTTTTATGAAGCCAGGATCATCCTAATTCCAAAACCAGATAGAGACACAACAAAGAAAGAAAACTTCAGGCCAATATTGCTGATGAACATAGATGCTAAAATCCTCAACAAAATATTGGCAAATCACATCCAACAATATATCAAAAAGATCATACACCATGACCAAGTGGGATTCATCCCAGGGATGCAAGGATGGTTCAATATTCGCAAATCAGTAAATGTAATACATCACATAAACAAAAGCAAAGACAAAAACCACGTGATCATATCAAGAGACACGGAAAAAGCTTTTG